GCCACTCCGTTTTGCTGCGGAGTATACATACATGTCCTATGTCTTGCAATGCCATGTTTCCTGCAAGACTCATCAAACGCTTTGTTGCAAAACTCCAATCCATTGTCAGTTCTTAAACATTTCAACTTTCTATCAACCTGATTCTCAACTAAATTCTTCCATTCACAGAACTTAGCAAACGTCTCATCCTTAGTTTTAAGGAACCAGATCCAAACCTTTCTTGAATGGTCGTCTATAATTGATAGAAAATACTGATTTCCGAACACCGATGGGTGTACGTTTGGTGAACCTCAAAGATCAGCATGTACATAATCAAGAACATGTTTTGTGTCATGCTTTCCTGCTTCAAAACTGACTTTCTTCGATTTTCCCATCACACAATGCTCACAGAAAACTTCTTCGCCTACGTCTTTCTTCTTTAAGACACCATCTCTCACCAAAACTTGCATGTTTTTATAGCTCATGTGGCCTAATCGACTGTGCCACAATGGAACTTGAACCTTAGCATTTTCCACTTGACAAGACTCCTCTGTTATTGTCTCTCCATCAAGGATATACAGCCCATTCTTCAGAGTTCCTTTCAATGCAAGCTTGTTGTTCTTATGGAACATGATTTTACCAGCTCCACCAGAATGTACAAAACCAAGTTTATCTAACGTTCCTGTAGATATCAGATTTCTGCGGAGGGAAGGCACATATCTTACATTGTGCATCATCTTTACTGATCCTCCATAAGTGTTCAGCCTTATAGAACCAATCCCGAGAGTTTCAACTGTGTGAAAATCGCCAAGCCATATCTTAGTTGCTTCTTTCTCATTAAGATTCACAAACCAGTCTTTCCTTGATATCATATGATGAGTACATCCTGAATCAATCACCCAACTATCTCTGGAATCATCTGTAGATACTGTTAATGCATCTGCAACTTCAAGTTGATCAATAACCACGGCAGCTTCACCATCACTGTCGTTGTCCATCCTTTTCTTTCTTGCAAAACAGTCTTTCTTCACATGTCCTTCTTTCTTGCAGTACCAGCATGTTACCTTTCTGCCAGTCTTGGATTTACTTCGATTCCTACCACCTCGTGTATCCTGTGAATCTGACCTCTTGTGTTGCCTTCCCCTATCGTTTGTGTAGAGCACTGTACCAGCTCCACCATCTAGTCTGATGCTTTCAGAGATCTCCCTCTGCTTTGATCTTGCAGCCGAGATCACTTCTTCCAGTGTTAGAGATTCTTTACCATACTTCAAAGTATGTTTAAGCTGATCGTAGCTTGCAGGCAAAGAATTCAAGAAAAGAATCGCCTGAATCTCATCTGTGACATCAACATCTAGGCTATTCATCTCTGCAACAATCTTGAGGAAGTCATCCACATTGATATCTATCGATTTTGCTCCATCACACCTGAATGTGTAAAACTGCGATTGCACAAATATCCTATTTGGCAAGGATTTTGACATGTACAACCTATCGAGCAAAGACCACATAGATGCAGCCGTAGTACAATGCTTGATCTTCCTAAGGATCTGATCGCTGATGTTCACCACGATCATGTCTTTGGCCCTCTCATCCTTCTCTAGCTTGACGGGGTCAAAAGACACCTTGGATTCAGAGGTTTCAATAAACACGGATACCCCCTCCACCGTTTTCTTCTCATCAGCTTTTGTTACCGTCACAGTCATCTGAAAGTCATCGCTGAGGATAACGTTTTTCAAACCTGAGACTCCGAAGTGCGCCATCATCCGAGTGGTCCACATCGAGAAGTCACCGGAACCATCGAACATCGCCACCTGACTCGCCGTTGTAGACATCTTGAATCAACCCAACCTTGGAGCTCTGATACCAATTCTTGCACCCCAATACGACCGTGGTTCTTGCCTTTGACTATCAACGACACAAGCTCTCTATCTCTTTCTTAAATCGCACTCTCTCAATACAAAATAATGAAAGTAACAGCAATAAAAAAAGACGACACAAGAGATTTGTTAACCCTGAGTTCACTTCCGATGTGGAGAGCTACGTCTCAGGGGCCAGGCTCAACCCGACAAAATCCACTAGTAACGAAGGAGACAAGTCTCAAAAAACAGAGAGCCTTGTCAGAAAAGAAAACTTACAAGTTATTGTGTTTCTAGATACCCTAAGCACGTAACGGCGTTACCTTTTTATACATAAGGGTTTACGATGAGAATAAGATAATTAACATATCTAATACAACCGACTAAAATATGTTAATACTTCTAAGCCCAATATGTTTATATTAGACCAATATCTCAACAGACACAAAAAGATTCATATATAATCGTTTGATTAGATCATTTGTGCCACACACTAAGTCTAGTTTTAGAATTCAAGGTATAGATAATCATATCGCGTAGAAGTTGGAAATCTTAGGAACATTTTATCATCAGTTGAAAGATTTTTTAAATTATTAGTTTAATTAACGATAATACGCACTAATCATTCTGAATGAAAACTGAGTTTGATGAATGTGATAGTTTTGGTTCCAGAGAAGTCATTCTGATTTCTCTACAAAAGGAGACGGTCTAAAAGAGCTAATGGTTGAAGGTGATGAACTTTATTGGCGATTCTGTAGCTAGAAACCACATGGAGGCTCTTTTTTTGCCTCTTGTCAATGGTACAAACCTGTTTGTAGAAGATGTTGTGACATGACTCTTTTAGCTTGTGACCTACGAGATCTTTTGCTTGTGCAGGAAGAAACTCCGAAAGATATTTACAATGATGCAGAAGACAGAAACAGGATATGGTACTTTCCTGGTCATGACTTCTTACTTTCAACCTTATGGGCTAAGTTTCTCAATAGGATATGAGAGGACATATGCGAACAAGACCGGAACAGGAGTTTATGATCTCGACATTGATAAGATGGATGAGCAGTGGGCGAAAGATCTGCCAAATACAGACATTGCCATTGTTTCAGCTGGTCATTGGTATTCAGACCAATATGCATACACAAAGGAGATGAGAGACAATTGGTTGCATCTTCTGTAAGAACTTTTCTTACTTCTTAATCATAATGCCTTTGATTTAATCATCATTGCAAGCTTAGGTATCATAATGTGTTACAAAGAGATCAGACACATTCACAGAACATATACAAACTGAACATACCTAACCTAGCACTGTTTCATATATATATTGATCAAATAGTGCAAAAGGAATTGAGCAGAGGCCAATAATCTCAAGTGAAAGACATGTAAACAAACACACAAAAATCATGAGAACTTGTAAAGAATCTCAAAGAAAATTGTCAAAGTGCAAAATTTCAAGTGGATGTAATAGAAACAAATTGACAAAACCAAAGTTAGACCATCTTTAAAGAATTATGTTACAGAGAATAAAGACATAAAGCTTCACCAGGCATGGCTACAACACATTGCTTCTATCAATTAACTCACAAAGCAATCATAACATCTTTTAGATAGAACTGTAACTCCACATTGCTCCAAGTACATATCTTGATTATACCCTAAGACCCTCTTGAAAAGACTATGTCCAGAGACTAAAAGCTACAGAAAGTTAATCGCTAAGTTCTTCACCAACCATGACTACTACACAATGCTTCTACTGTGTTCAATCAGTTAACTATAGCAATCATAACATCGTTGATATACATATCGTGACAGTGAAGAAATTTCCTTCATATGGATGCTTATCCACTGCTGAGAATATAACAAGATAGCTTGGGAAAAGTGAGATTGATGAATAGCAAATTTTCAACTATTTCTTGGAAATTTAGTGTTCAACAATAAATTACATGAAGCCAATAAGCTAAAATCACCAAACCAGTACAAAAGATGGAAACTTTTCAATGATCAAGACTCCAAAGTGTTGTTACCAAGAGCAAATGAGAAGACTTCACGAACCGGAGAAAACTCCACCAGACCAATCTCCACGCCGTATCCATTCACCGGAAGTTTCAAGTCTCTCAGCACCGAGAAAGCTTCAGCGATACGCGACTTGGGGACTTCAAGAGCCACTGGACAGAACGGAACCCACGAATCGACGCGATAATCTTCGGAAATCTCAACGCCTTCTTTCTTCATCGTGTCGCATAACTGAGACTGCAGCTGAAGAAGCGACAGGGACGGTGTCGGCGAGAAGAAGAGTACGTCGTCTTCGCTCGAGAAGCTTCCGATTGTGGAGAACGAGATCGAGAGTGGTTCCTGCTTCGATACGAAGTTCCTGATGACGGATTCGAGCCTCGCTGAGTCGAAGAAGGCGGTGGAGAACAAGGTTATGTGTGGGCGAGACTCGTTGTTGATCAGTTTCGTGCTGATTTGCCGGCGAGCGAAGGTGTTCCAAGCTTTCAGAACTTGGTTTTCAAGCGCAGGATCGAAGTAAAGCTCGATCGCGTAACCTTCAGACATTTGCGAAGATCGGAGATGAAAATTGAGAACCGATCGCGATTCTGAAACAGAGATCTGAGAGATCACCAACTGGTTTTAGAACCAGAATCTGGGGAAATTGGCGGTTGTGGTGGTGAAGAATCGAAGGAAAATGGTGAAGGAGAAGAGATTGATTACTCAAAAGGGTAAAGTAAAATAATCAAATTTCAGATTTGGTTTATATGCTTTGTTAACTTTGGATTAAAGAGTTTTCTATCTGAAATCGAAATTTCTGGGAAAAAAATAAATTTTTTAATCTTTTCTTAGTCGGGGGTTTAGTGGGAAAATTGTGTTTACTTAAAGTCGATAACGAATCTGCGTATGGTTAAGAATTTTGCGATTATCCTAATTAAGCCTTTATTAACTCGATATTTAAAAGCCCAAGCTCGTTATATTGGGCTAATGGGCCTTACAGTAGGCCCATTTTCGATATATTCAGACACGACGGGACGACTGATCGCCGTCCTAGCCATAACCTCACTCTCCGATTATAATAAACCCTAGCGGCGTCAGTTTTCAATTTCAATTTCGCAGAGAGGATAAAGATTCAGAGGAAAAGCTCATTTCTTTTCTTCTGGGTTTGAGAAATAAACAATGAAAACTTCTCAAAAGAGAGGACGCAAACACAAGAGACAAGATGCTTCATCGGCGGAAAACGCCGGCGGCGAAGTTAAGGAAGGCTCGGTTACACAGCTGAACGAATCGGCGTCGCCTCAGTCTCCTGAGCCCGCATCAGCTTCCGAAACCAACCCGTCTCCGTCGCGACGCAACCGTGGGAGAGACAAAAAGCGCCGATTGAACAACCAATCCGAAACCACCGAGCGTCGCGGCGGAATCAGCCAGAGACTGCCTCTCCCTCATCACCCTGATCAGAAGAACGGCGATTGCAGCAACGGGGTTATCATCTCAACGGCGACGGAATCGATTCCTGCTGCTTCGAGCTGGGAAACTGTGGTGAAAGTTGTGCCTTCGATGGATGCTGTGGTGAAAGTCTTTTGCGTCCACACCGAGCCTAACTTCTCGCTTCCGTGGCAGAGGAAGCGACAGTACAGCTCCGGGAGCAGTGGCTTCATTATCGGAGGGAGAAGAGTTTTGACGAATGCACATTCCGTTGAGCACCATACTCAAGTTAAGCTCAAGAAACGTGGCTCTGACACAAAGTATCTAGCAACAGTCTTGGCCATTGGAACTGAATGCGACATTGGTAATGAATAATCTAGTTTCTTGTAGTCTTAGACTAGTTTGAGTTGCAATGGAACAGTTGATATTAATGTGAAGTAATGGTTTGATTGATCTTTGGATTTGGATTATTTGCAGCATTGTTGACAGTTACTGATGATGAGTTTTGGGAAGGAGTGACTCCTGTAGAGTTTGGAGATTTACCTGCTTTGCACAACGATGTAACTGTTGTTGGTTACCCAATTGGTGGCGATACAATCTCTGTAACAAGCGGTGTTGTTTCAAGGATGGAGATTTTGTCCTACGTACATGGCTCTACAGAGCTTTTGGGCTTGCAGGTTCTTACAAACACATTTTGATTGTTTTTTTCTTATTGTTTTGACGAGTGAAGTTTTAGGAACTTACAAATAGTGATTTCTGTTTCAGATAGATGCAGCTATTAACTCTGGTAATTCTGGTGGACCTGCATTTAACGACAAGGGAAAATGTGTCGGCATTGCCTTTCAGTCCTTGAAACACGAAGATGCTGAGAACATCGGTTATGTCATCCCTACGCCTGTGATTGTACATTTCATTCAAGATTATGAGAAGCATGATAAATACACAGGTGCTTAACTCAAGTCTCAACCATGAGCATGACTCTGTTGTTTTGTTTCGTTATCTCTACATGTGCTGTTTTTTTTTCTCAAACTTGTACTTGGTTTTTAGGTTTTCCTGTTATTGGGATTGAATGGCAGAAGATGGAGAATCCAGACTTGCGTAAGAAAATGGGAATGGAGTCTCATCAAAAAGGGGTGAGGATAAGAAGAATTGAGCCAACCGCACCGGAATCACAGGTTTTGAAGCCATCAGATATTATCCTTAGCTTTGATGGAGTTAACATTGCTAATGATGGAACTGGTAATCATTCTTTACAGTTAGTTTACTTTTTCACATATTTAGAACCAATGAGTGAGCTTTTTTTTTTCTCTGGTTGATATTCGTGTTCTTGTTTGTTTGTTTTTCAGTTCCATTTAGACACGGCGAGCGAATTGGCTTTAGCTATCTTATATCTCAAAAATACACTGGAGATTCTGCTCTTGTGAAGGTTCTGCGTAACAAAGAGATATTCGAGTTCAACATAAAACTTGCAATCCACAAGAAGCTGATCCCTGCACACATTAGTGGCAAACCACCTTCTTACTTCATCGTTGCTGGCTTTGTATTTACAACTGTCTCTGTTCCATATCTTCGATCTGAGGTTTTTTATTTTCTCTCTATCTCTCCTTGCTTCTTACTCTCTCTCACACACGTATCCATTTACAGTCTATATAACCTTTTTCCAATATTTTGTTTGCAGTATGGAAAAGAATACGAATTTGATGCACCTGTCAAGCTTTTGGATAAACATCTTCATGCAATGGCTCAATCCGTGGACGAGCAGCTTGTTGTAGTTTCACAGGTTGGTTTCTTTTGCCAACTCTTTTACGCGATTTCCTGTTTGGTATCGAAACCTCAACATCCTTTTATTACTTGCAGGTTCTGGTTTCTGACATTAACATTGGTTATGAGGATATTGTCAATACCCAGGTTTGTAAAGTTGCATCATCATTTGTCACTTTATTGATTGATGCGTCCATCACTCTAAATGGTTTAATCTCTATGTAGGTTCTTGCATTCAATGGCAAACCTGTGAAAAACTTGAAAGGTTTGGTTCAAATGGTGGAGAATTGTGACGATGAATACATGGAGTTTAATCTTGATTATGATCAGGTACGATTCTCTGATGATCTCACTAGCTTTATACATAACTTATGAAAAACTTTTAGCTAAAACTCTCTCTGGCGATTTCACAGATTGTTGTTCTGCAAACTAAGACAGCAAAAGAGGCAACTTTAGATATTCTGACGACACATTGCATACCTTCTGCTATGTCTGATGATCTCAAGACTTGAAACAGTCGCAGCCAAACAGACATGGAAGGTCAGAGTGAGAGAGAGAGAAAATGAGAGTGAGATTTTGCTTCATGGAAGGACATCACATAAGCAAATACAGCTTCGAAAGACAAAAAGAGCTTCGAAAGCTCGACCATATCTTTTATCTTCTTTGATTCTTACTCTGTTACAATTTTGTACTTGGAAAAATATGCAGGACAAAACACGAAGCAAGACAAGAAAATTCTGATAAGAAGCGTTGTGTCTCTGATTTCTGTTTTACAACTTCTACTACTTTTTAAAAATGCATTCTATACTCGTTCAGTATTTTTCTTTTCTGGTAAAGAGACTGAAAGTTCTATGATCTAGTCTCAGTTTCGGTAAAGTAAAACGAGTATCTAATGATCGTAAGCGAAACCTATAAACCATGAGAAGTTATTGGCTTATAGTAAATCTTGATGATAACGTTTCATACTTGTCTCAGAAACGGATTCCAAACCGCTAAAGTTCTGTCTTGGAGCCGGAGACAGAACAGTCCATCGCAAAGACCGATCACGTCCAACTCCACAAACGTTTGTCTCTGCAAGTTAGATCAGCTTCTTCGAGTGTCATTTTGGGTTTACCATTGTTTCCTTGTTCGTAAAGGAAGCTACGAGGAAGAATCCCTCCATTGTCTTGCAATCCAAGAAGCTTTCCTGGGGCGCAAGTCATTTGCTTTCGGATGAAGTACTTCTTGGCTCCAAGCAGTAATTTCCATCTTTTACAGACACATCTGAACCGAGACCCTCGCGAGAATTTCGAAATTTATTGCTTGGTGATGATTTTGACTTAATTAAAATGACGGTCTTCTTAAAACAGAAATAATATTCTACTGCAAATACTAAGAAAATAGAACAAGAATATAGAAAAAGAGAGAGTAGAAGAATGCTTTTGTCGTTATAATTACAAAAAAAAAAAAAGAATCTCGATTTGTATACAATAATAGTTATTAGATTTTAATAACCCAAGAGAGGAGCTTTTTGTGATGGAGACGACTCTATGGTTCTTGATATGTCCACTTTATCTTCCTTGGCTTTACCCCACAACACCATGTAAAATCCTATTGATATCAATATTCCTCCTAACAACCTGTGTATTCATTCAAACATTAAACATGAAAAATTAAGAGATGAGATTAGCATTATGAGATTAAAAAACATAACCAAAGACAAATACAAATACAAACAAAACTCATGTGTTATACGTACATTCCAAGGTAGATCGACTCGCCGAGGAAAATGGTAGTTGATGCGGCTGCGATCAATATAGATAACGGTTTGAACATCGACAAATACACAGGTCCCTTGTGACTAACCGCCCATGAATGTATAATATAGTATCCGGAATTCAAAATCCCCTATATATGAAAAAAAAAATGTATATCCCATATCTCATTAAAACCAAGAAAAAAGAGTAAATTAACAAACGTACAAAACCAAAGATTATTTTTACATTTTATATAATAAAAAATTACCGTTGCTACAAGGCTAATCAAGGTTGTGTCAAATCTTATGACCCATGCCTTGGAATCATCTTTCTCCACCAAAAGACTAACGAATGCACACACAATGAGAACGCAAACATTGTGGACGAGCGTTACAATGACGGTAGATGGATATCGACTCATTGTGTGTGCCTATATATATATATATATATATCCATCAAATCATATCATATTATATATCTTATTGATTGTATGTTTTTTTTTAATTTGAAGTGTATATAAGATATACCATAACAAGGTAAGAGATGGAGATGAGGATGTATTGGAGAGCAAGAAGGCCACCTCCAATAATCCAATCGGAGTGTGAAGACATAAGCATTGGACCATGGTAGAGAGTAACCACAAGTGCACCTATTATAGACATTACTGTCCCCAACACTTTGGCTACACTACTCTCTTTTTTTATAGATATTTTCTCCATTCTAACACCAGAAAGTGCATGTTAGTGAAACTTTAAAAGAATACTTAAAATATATATATATATATATATATATATTTTCTTGTTCTAGCTTTTTTTTGTCAAAACTTGTTCTACTATAACTAAGAACTTGTGGAGGCTATTCAACAAGAAGTTGTCTAGTCCACGGTCGAGTATTTCGTTATGCCTCATACCAACATTAAAACTTCAAAGTCAGCTTTCATATTGGTGAATAAACAATTTTTTTTTTTTTGAACAAAACATGAGTAATATTAAATACTTTTTCTACGCGTTTTTAGGCATGCTTCGCACACGTTCATATTTTTAATTGCTACATTTTTAAATTTAATCTAAAAATTATAAAAGAAATCCCGTTGACCCATAAGTTATTTGGACATATGTGAGACTGAGAAGATCTATCTTTCTTTCATCATAAATTTCATTTTTCCCTTTTTCCAACTAACACATTGAGAACTCCCAAGTTGACGGTTAGATCCCTTAAAGCATAAGCAATCTTATAAAGTAAAAGCAAATAAAGTTTTACTTGAAGCTAAATGATTTCAACTAATTAACTACTTATTTGGAAAACACATTGATTACCGGAAAATTACGGCGAGGATGAAGGTAAATGCAGGATTAACATTGCTCATGGCTGAAGATAAAGTCGGCGAGCTGTATTTAATCCCATTGTATCCTGCGATTTGGAATGCACTCCTGTTTTTTTTTTTTCACAAAAGAAAATACAAAAATACAACTAAGAAATATCCTCTATATATATATATACTAAATGGCAATATAAATGGGACAAAAAAATCTGAAAGTAAAAACATTATCATGAATAAACCAAGAAAAAAGAAATTTTTCTGACGTGTCGTCATGGAAGTGATTTAAATAAGTTTTTTTTTTAAAATATTTTAAATTGTACTTATAAAACTATATGTCAAGACGAAACAGAATTAATACAATTGTCTCATCTAATAAAAATAGATTCTGCACTAATTAAGTAGATAATGTACATCATGCAATTTATTATAATGATTTTAACAAATGATACTCGCCCACACTTTTATTTTTTTTTTAAATAAAAATTGTGAAAAATCGCTATAATAATTATAATAACTATAATTTGAATCAGTACTCTTTTATATGCAACTCAAAAATAATTGAAAACGTAAAATGTAATAAAGATCTTTTATATGCAAAGAACTAAATAAATATATTTAAAGAAAAATCTAAGAAGATGGATTCAAATGCTATCAGGTGAGAAGAACTTACGCAATTAGACCAAGAAGTCCCATTTTGCAAAGAATTGAAGATGTCAACGGAGGAAGAGATCTTGATCTGTAGAGAGATGAATGAAGCTATCTAAGAGCAAGTTCTTATCAAAATTTTGGAATCGGAGACGTAAGAATGAAGAAAACCTGAAGGAGAAGAAGGCAAGAGGAAGAAGTAGAAGAGATCCAAAAGTGTACGAGTAGACAAGAACCACAAATGGGCTAAGTCCTTTGGAAGTTACTGATTTGACTAGAGTGTTTACTCCGACGTTGGAAAACTCCGTTAACACCATCGCCGCCAAGATCAAGCCGTCTCTGTTACATAATCTTCCCGGAGCCATTTTCAGTTCTTGGCTTCCTTTTGTTTTTCTTTCCCCTCCCCCTCTCTCTCGGCTTCTTTTGTTTTTGTTTTCTCTCTCTCTCTCTCTCTCTCTCTCTCTCTCTCTCTCTCTCTCTCTCTCTCAATCAATTTGAGATTTAAAAAATATCTATTTTATCTTTTTAATTCCTGGGGTCGTGATGGGAAGGGAACGATGAAGCAAGTCCATCACATAAATGATTACTGACTTGTTGAAATTTGGAGTTTATTGGATCTAACAACATAACAACATTTGTTGTTGGGTGTAAAACCGTTACAAGATTGTCTTGAAAACTAACAATCAGATGAAAACATAAACAAAATTGCAAATGTATAGAGTTGCATATAAATTGTAGAAAAAAAAATAGAAGAGTGTGATTTGCAAATGTATAGAGTTGCATATTCTTTTTGAAAATAAATGTTATAGTCAATTAAAATATTTCATAGATATAATTTGTCAGTTATAAAACTAGAAATGCTTCGGACATGCCTTCATTATTTTAATTATGTTAACTCTGTTCTACCGATTCGATTTATTGAGATAGTTTAAAAACTTGAAGCTGCTTAAAAAAAAAAAAACTAGAAATGCTACAAAACAGTTGGGGGTGCTTTTATACTCTCGTAAAAAATACCAGTACGAAAAAAGTCCACCTACCAGTAACTAAAACATATATTTTTACTTCATATTACTCGAAATATTTAAAAATTTAGCTAAGACCATTAAAATTAGCTATTTATAAGCTAAAAAGTTTTACCACATAAAACAATTATAAATATTACATTTTTATTTATTTTTGTTAAAAAAACTGAATTATTAAATTGATTTCATCTGAATTATTGCTATGTATTTTGGATTAAATGAAACAACAAAATACGCCAAAATTGTTATAGAATTTTTAAACAAACTCAGTCATCCTATTGGTAACATAATTTTCTTATTATAGAATTACTGAATGGCGGAAAAAAAATTGCGAAATGACTTATAGTAGAATTGCGAAATATTTTTTTTAACACGATTAGATAAATTATGCAGAATAGTGGAATGGCGGAATGACAGAATATAATTATTTTAATTTTTTTTACTATATATATTATAAAAATAAAATATTAATAATTCAATCATGATATAATTCTTATCGTAATTTTTTAATAATTGTTTTCAAAATAAAAAAGTATATAAAAATTTAAAATATTGCACATTTTAAATAATAGATATAACTTTATCATTAAATAATTTTTGTAACAATAAATTATTTAATTGTATTTATTTAAATAATAAAATATAATTAGTTATATAATTAAATAATATAAATATTAATTCTGCAAATAATCTACTTTAAACCCACTTTTCCGCTTAATGAAGATTTCTTTGTATTTTTTTGTAAGTAAAAACACAATTTCGTAGATGGCGTTTTTTCGCAGGGTTTTCTGATTGGCAAAATTCTTGCGTTTTTGCGTTTTCCCGCCATTTCGCAATTTCGCAAATGTTAGCAGTCAAAGCCCTAGTCTTCTTTTTATGGGAAGAGAATATTACAGTCAAAGAAATTTTCACAAACTGTAATATAAAAAAAAAAACACTTAACAATTTTAAGGCACTTTCATTAAATGAACAAATAATTTTATCCTTCTTCTTTCTTTCTCTTCTTCTCTCTTTTTTTCTCCTTCTATCTTTTTTTTCTTCTGCTCTCATTCTCTTTCTCTTTTTCTTCTCTTTCATTACTTTTTATCAACGAAACCAAAAACAGTTTTAAGAAGGAAAAAAACTTTTTTTATTATTTCTCTCTTCTATAATTTCAATATCTCTTTTTCTTTTCCAAACCTAAATTAATGTCAAACAAAGAGAAGAGATTTTCAAACGAGAAATTAACAGAGATTCAAAATCTTCATCACTTTTTTCTCTGATCAACGGCAAGAAAACCCAAATCTATACCATTCCTCTAACAATATTCATCACTCCTCCGATTAACAGCGAGCAAATCCTAAATCTAAAAAGATGGATACAATCGGATAGATGGAAGAGATAGATGCAATAAGGTAGATGCAATCGGTGGATGGAAAAGATGGATGCAATCGGGTGGATGGAAGAGATGGATGCAATCTGGTGGATGGAAAAAAGATGGATGCAAGCGAGTGGATAGAAAAGATAGATCCAATTGGGTGGATGGAAGAGATAAATGCAATCGGGTGAAATAGATGGATGCAATCCGGTGGATGGAAAAAAGATGAATGCAAGCGGGTGGATGGAAAAGATGGATGCAATCGGGTGGATGGAAGAGATGGATGCAATCCGGTGGATGGAAAAAAGATGGATGCAAGCGGGTGGATGAAAAAGATGATTGCAAGAGGGTGGATGGAAAAGATGGATACAATTGGGTGGATGGACACCCAAAAACTGTAGTATTATGACGCGCCTCCCAGAACCAGCATTGTCCACAAAAGAGTATACAAACTTCAACAATTGAGCATACGAAAATTACCAGCTTCAGATCTCCACCATTTCAATTGCATGTCTACTCGTCAAATTTACGCCGCCGGAAACACAACGACAGCATGTCGATTATGACTGTTGCAATCTCTCCATTCATCTACCCACCAAGCTTTCGCAAACCTAAGTAAAAATGTCACTCAACACAATACTCATTAAGGGCAAAATTATCACATCAGATGCTCAAATATTAAGCAAAGTGCCTTATATCTCCAAAGTGCCTAATTTTGAAACAACTTTCTCTAAAGTGTGTTTCTTTGTAAATGTCTCTTATGGGAATGACCTCATTTTCAAATAAGAAAATTACATTTAAGGCACTTTTAGAAACTTGAATTACAAATTAAGGCACTTAGAAAGGAAGAGGCACTTTCATCATGCGAAATGACCATTTTATCATTTTCATACAAAATCAAATGTTCAGAACCGCTAGACCACGCAGATGAATTTTTGTGGATAACCATAACACATCATAATCAATTTTCATGGATGAATTTTCGTGGATGACTTCAAACGTTCACTAGACTGGTTTGAGATCGATGAAGCTCATGCACACGTGGATGACCTTTCATGGACAACTAAATATGTATTGTTTAAATTTGTATATCGATTTTGCATGTCTTTCGTTGATGAACCTTCACGGACATCTAAATATGATTTTGTATATCTATTTTGCATATTTTGTGAATGAACTCTGTGAAACTTGTATATTTTAACAAATGACTAAAATATTTCGACCACGTAGATGAACATATGTGGACAACTTCATACGTTCATTATACTAGTTTGAGATCAATGAAGCTCATGCTCACATGGATGACCCTTCATGGACAGCCAAACATGTAATGTTTGAATTTGTATATCCATATTGCATGTCTTTCGTGGATGAACCTTCGTGGACAGCTAAATATGATTTTGTATATCTATTTTGCTTATCTTTTGTGGATGAACTCTGTGAAACTTATATACTATAACAAATGGCTAAAATATGCCGACCACGTGGATTGACATATGTGGACAATTATAAGTAAAGAGAAAGGGCAAAATCGGAATAACATATTATGAACAGTGGCCAAAGTGCATCTTCCCTACAAAGTGTCTTTTTTTGTAACCAAAACTTACAAAGTGTCTTTTTATGTAAATCTCTCTATAGTCAAAGGTCATAAAATACTGAAATCAGATCAGAAAATTTGGAGACATTGAGCATTTATTGGGGGTTTTAAGCATTTATTTATATCACCTGCCCATATACCTAAGATCTCTAATATTGTTCCATGTAGTTGATTAAGGTTATAGTTAGACAAAAATGAAGAAATTTTCATCGAGGTAAATAAAACACCATCAGTGCAAATGGGTGTGTGGTATAATAAAAACGGTAATCCTATTACTAGTTAATGTTTATGGTACCAAGCCTTTCTGTACTTTAAAGCTAAGTAATTATTCTACTTAGTTTTAGAGTATGCACCAAATATATCAATATAATCCAATAGACAAAAAAAAAAAACCTAAATTCTTGTTTACACAATGCAAAAAGAATTGTACATGTAAATCTATATAAGATGTTAATATAATTAGGGAACATCTTCTAACAGGTCCATAGTTATGAAAAAAAGAAAACTAAGTAAAATGATTTCACAACTGTATTTCTATCCAACATATCTTTATGATAAGGTTTCATCTTCTCTGTTCTGTGTAGGCAACAAAAGTGACTCCTCAGAATCACTTACTCTTTTGGTTGTATCTTCTCTTGCTTTGCCCCAAATCACAGTATAAAACCCAAAGCTCAATATTACTGATCCAATCACACTGCCCAACAACACATAGATGCAAACATTATATGTACTAATTATTTATTAATCTCATCATATGCACTAATCAAATTCTAGGTATTTTGCTCTTGACAAAACTTAATCTATATCCGTTATTATAACTGTCCGCATATTTCAAAGAGCGTTGTGGAGGCATTACTGCATTTGAAGATGAAACAAAATGATTCAAAGCAAAACATTTCAACAACCTCCAACTAAAACTTTTATCACTTTTGTTTTTCAAGAAAGAGACTATATATAGTAAAAGGTAAGGAGATGAAAGATATGGTACCTCCCAAGATGAAGCTCATCGCCGAGGAATATAGCAGCCATGGCGACAGCAATTGCAATAGACAACGGCTTGAACAAAGATACGTAGACAGGACCTTTCAAATGCAAACCCCATGTGTGTATAACTGAGCCCAATGATGTATCAAAGAATCCCTGAAGCAGAATGTTATTTTCTGAGCTTTAAGCTAAGATGAGAGTCAGTTTACAAAGATTTGATATCTCACCGAGTATACAACCGCAGCTAGAGAGATTCTCGGTTCAAGCTTCCAAGACTTCAAGTCTTTCTCTGCAAATAGACATACTAACGCTGAGATTACCGTTGCACACAAGTTGTAGAAGAAGACCACGCTTATTTCTTCAGGGTACATCTCCATGATCTGAGTCTGAAACCATTATACATCTGCCGAATTTAGCTCAGTAAACCAAAAACCTCTTTCAAGAATCTGTTCAAGTCTATGTTACTACCTGAAGAATAAACCAGACTGAAAGAAGCAAATACTGTGAAGCGAGCAAAAGGCCTCCAATGATCCAACTTGACTCTGATGAAGTAAAAGATGCAGCAACAAGAAGCTTTGGGCCTTTATAAAGAACAACAACAAGAGCGCCAGAGATAGATACTATCGTTCCAATGATTTTAGCCTGAGTCGCTGAGCTTCTTAACATTACTTGCTCCATCCTTTACGAAGTAACCCGAGTAAGCAAGAACCAGTTAAACGAGATAAGATTGATATAGTGACACAAACAAAAACATATATTGAAAGGAGAAGAAAGTGGAACCTGAAGAAGACGGCAAGCGTGAAGGTGAAAGCTGGTGTTAAGTTGCTTATAGCAGAGGAAAGAGTTGGTGAACTATATTCTATACCTTTACATCCAGCTATCTTCGACGTGAGACTGTTTTTACCCCAAAGTTAGCAAAACCGAAGAATACTCACAGATCTTGAACAGAGGAAAATATGTAATTACCCGAGAAGCGTAAGTAGGAAAATCTTGAAGAAGAGAGGAGACTTGGCTGAAGGCAAACTTTTTGACCTGCACATAAATGTAATAGAAGTTGATGATCTTGAAAAAAATCTAGAAGAGTTAGCTTAAGGAGATGAAAGTACCTTCTAAAGATGAGGGAAAGTGTAAATAGGACAAGTGTAGCAACGAGATAAGAGTAGAAGACGAAGACATAGAAACTCAATCCTCTTAAGGTAGCAGCTTTGAACAGTGTGGATGATCCAACCGTTGTACACTCTACTGCGATCATTGCACCAAACGGCACAACATCTCGGCTAAAGTACCTCCAAGCCACTGTTTCTCTCATGATATTCAGTTTCTTCAGAAAGTCTCTGAGGTCAAAAATGAGTTTAGTCAAGGATTCATGGTCGTGGTGTTTACCTCCAGTCACACGGTAGCTAGATTATTTAATTTAGAACCAATACATTTTCAGTGACCACAATATGGAAAGTAAAGTATTCAAACACTTACACACCACAAGGATCATATCCGAATATTCAAAGGACCCCACGACAAGGAACTTTGCCCATTATAGCTTTAATACCTTCAGCTGAAGATATTTCCAACTTCCATTTGAACAGTCTCCTCCAAAATTGCAGCAGCATCAATGAGCACAACCCACCAGCGATCACTATGGATCTATCTTCAGAAAGGAATATTTGGATTCATTGGATTTCCTCTTCGCTTTCCAGAAAATTCATCCTAAAATCTGCAATCTCCACATCAAATACTAAGGACAAGAGTAGCAACGAAATAAGACTAAAAGACAATATGGCAATATCAGACGTTTTACCAATTTCTTTCTTATTTACAATTGAAATAATACAAGACAAAAAAAAAAAAAAAAACAGAAAATATTATATGTACTGAAGATAAGACGTTACATTATTGGGGGACCATCTTTTAATGGCTCCATATTTATCAATGAATAGTATAACAGGGTTCCACTTGCATCATCAGTCAGTCACATATTAATGATGAGGCTTCATCTTCTATGGTGTGTGTAAGCAGCAAAGGTGACTGCTCAGAGCTAGCCAGAGTTTTGGTTGCATCCTCTCTTGCTTTACCCCAAATCACTGTGTAGAATCCTAAGCTCAAAATCACTGATCCGATCACACTGTCCACAACACATCCAGAAACCATATCAACTCTCTTGAATGTGATTCCATGGATAGATACATGAAACTAAAGCTACCTAAGTGTACTATTAAGGAAGATTGTGACAGATATAATACCTCCCAATGTGAAGTGCATCGCCAAGGAATATAGCACCCATAGCGACCGCAATTACAATAGACAGTGGCTTGAACAAGGATATGTAAACTGGACCTTTCAGATGTAGACCCCATGTGTGTATAACTGATCCGAATGATGAGACTAAGCCTCCCTGAAACAGAGCGTTAACTTATCTGAGCTTAAACCATAGTCACTACTTTAAGCAACATACAAGGTTTGATTCTCACCGTGTACATGACTGAAGCGAGGGAGATATCCGGTTTAAGAAAGAAAGAAGCCAAGTCCTTTTCCGCATATAGACATACGGGCGCTGAGATTAGTGTTGCGCATAAGCTGTACAAGAAGACTACGGTTGTTTCTTCAGGGTACATCTCCATGACCTGAGTCTGAAATCATATAGAGCTTCCGAATTCAGAAACCAAAGTCTTGTCATTACAAAAATCCAAAGTCTTGTTTTTTTTTTCATACCTGAAGAATGTACCAGACTGATATAAGCAAATACTCTGAAACGAGTAAAACGCCTCCGAGAATCCAACTTGAATCCGACGAAGTCAATTGCTGGTAAAGCGAAATGGTAGATGATGAAGATGCAGCATCGAGAACCTTTGGGCCTTTATAAAGAACAACAACAAGAGCACCGGATATAGATACTATCGTGCCAATGATTTTAGCCTGAGTCGCGGAGCTCCTTAACACTACTTTCTCTATCCTTTACGAGCCACCCAAGAAAAAACAGAACCAGTTAAGAGTTACTCATTCCACAAAAGCAGAAGGCTTGAGTTTGGAACCATTGTCCAAACTTCAGACCAATTTTCGCAAAACAGAATCGAAAGAGAAGGAGGAGAAACCTGAAGATAACGGCGAGAATGAAGGTAAAAGCCGGCGTGAGGGTGCCGATAGCAGAGGAAAGAGTAGGAGAACTGTATTCTACTCCTTTACAGCCAACTAGCAGCGACACGAACCTGTTCCCCTCCAAGTTAGACAGAACTCGGAAAAGAAAAACCTTGAAATGTCTGTAATTTACCCGAGAAGCGCAAGCAAGAAGATCTTGAAGAAGACGGGAGATTTAGCTGAAGGTAACCTTCTTGATCTGCATTTATAGAGTATGTTTTCACATTCTTGAAGGTTATAAAGAGTAGTTGATGAGATAAAGTACCTTCCGAAGATGAGGGAGAGTGGAAGGAGGACAAGTGTAGAAACGACATAAATGTAGAAGACATAGACGTAAAAGCTCAATCCTCTCAAGGTCGCAGCTTTAAACAGTGTGGTTGATCCAACAGTGACACACTCCACTACGATCATTGCAGCAAACGGCACAACATCTCTGTTAAAATAACTCCACGCCACTGTGTCTTCTCTCATGATTTCCAGATTTGATCTCCAGATTCACAGAAGTTAAAAGTGAGTGTGGAAGAAACGACAAATCTGGACACTTTCCCAACGTGACCAAATACTCACACCACAAGGATCATATCTCAATTATCAAGGGACCCACCACAAGGAACTCTTTCTCCATTATAGCTATACTTTCATTAGAACATTCTTCTCCAATGAGTAAAGACTGAATCTTTGTTTCAAGCTCAAATTGCATCATCATCAAACAATCGCAAAAAACCACCAGCGATCTGTAGGATCATCAATGGTTCGCCAATGTCAGCTTCATCTTCAGAGAACAATCTCCAAAAGGGAATATTTTGATCGATTTATTTTTAAAAATCCCTCTTCATCTTCTACCAGAAATTAACCCCAAAAATTTGCAACCTCCATCAATAGTATCAATTACTAGCCCTAACGATTCAGTAACACCGATTACTTAATCCCAATCCACCAACAATTTCATCTGCCAAACCCTAAATCATCACTGTCTCACTGACCTTCGATTTTCTCAAGCGACATAAGATAAGCAATTCAACCAAAATTTTCAGAAGATCCCCAGAATCGTACCAATTTGCAGGCGAGACGCAGTCAGATGCTCACGAGAGGCGTTGCCGTCGCCTGTCCGGCGACTTTTTGTCTTATACTTCCGGCGAGATGATGACCGTCTAAATAACTGATCCAACGGTTAGTATTTTTAGACGCTCGTTGACAATTCTCATTTAATCCAACAGATGCTAGAGTGGAACCGAACCAAAATCTTGGAACCGGAAATAAAAAACTAAACCGAATCGAACCGACACACCAAAACGGAGCCAATGATAATGCTCAGTTGTTGTATTGCACAAAATGTTTACCAGACATATGCTTGTATACTTCGTCTGGATGCATATGTTTGTATACTTTACAATATTTATCATATAGATTCTAGAGTTTTTGGTTACCCATATAAGTAATTGAATGAATAAGATAATGATTCTACTTGCATCAGTCACATCTTAATGATGAGGCTTCATCTTCTCTGGTGTATGTAACCAACAAAGGTGACTGCTCAGAACCAGCCACAGTTTTGGTTGCATCCTCTCTTGCTTTGCCCCAAATCACAGTGTAGAATCCTAAGCTCAAAATCACTGATCCGATCACACTGCCCACAGCACATATCCAGAAACCATATTAACTCTCTTCAATGTGATTCCATGGATAGATACATGAAGTGTTATGTTTGTTTCTCAATAAAGAGACAATGAAGATCAAGAAGGTGAAAGATAACGGTACCTCCCAAGGTGAAGTGGATCGCCGAGGAATAAAGCACCCATGATAACCGCAATAACAATAGACAATGGCTTGAACAATGATATATAGACTGGACCTTTTAGATGCAGACCCCATGTGTGTATAACAGAGCCTAGCGATGAAACTAAGGCTCCCTGAAACAGAAACGTTACTTTCTGAGTTTTAAGTTACAGTCACTACTTGACGCAACATACATATAATAAGGTCTGATTCTCACCGAGTACATGACTGAAGCGAGGGAAATATCAGGTTTAAGCAGAAAAGAAGTCAAGTCCTTTTCAGCAAAGAGACATACTGGTGCTGAGATAAGTGCAGCGCATAAGTTGTATAAGAATACTACACTTATTTCTTCAGGATATACCTCCATGATCCGAGTCTGAAATCTTATATGAGCTACTTAGTTTTATGTGCCTCCAACAAAATCAAAGTCTCTCTCATGAACTGTTAAATTTACCTGAAGAATCAACCAGATTGAAACAAGCAAATACTGTGACGCTATTAATATGCCTCCGATTATCCAACTTGACTCAGATAAACTCAAATGCTGCTCAAGCGAGATGGTAAGTGATGAAGAAGCTAGAACCTTTGGGCCTTTATAAAGAACAACAACAAGAGCACCAGATATAGATACTATAGTGCCTATGATCTTAGCCTGAGTCGTAGAGCTCCTTAACACTACTTTCTCCATCCTTTACAAGTCACAGAAGGAAACAGAAACAGTTAAGAGTTAGGATGATAGTTACTTTCTCGAAACAGAATCGAAAGGGAAAGAGGTCGAACCCGAAGATAACGGCGAGCGTGAAGGTGAAAGCTGGTGTGAGGTTACTAATAGCAGAGGCAAGAGTAGGAGAACTATATTCGATTCCTTTACATCCAGCTATCACCGACATGAACCTGATCCCTCCAACGTTAACAAAACGGAAATGCACATAAGGAGATGTATAACTCTAGAAGCATGTATATGATTACCCGACAAGCGCAAGTAAGAAAATCTTGAAGAAAACAGGAGATTTGGCTAAAGGTAATCTTCTTGACCTGCACATGTAATATATATGTTCACATTCTTTAAAATTTTATAGATTCTAGTTTAGGAGATCGAATACCTTCCGAAGATGAGGGTAAGTGGGAGAAGAACAAGTGTAGCAATTACATAATTGTAGAAGACAAAGACATAGAAGCTCAGTCCTCTCAATGTAGCAGCCTTGAACAGTGTGTTGGATCCAACTGTAACACACTCCGCAGCGACCATTGCAGTGAACGGCACAACATCTCTGCAAAAGTGTCTCCAAGCAACTGTCTCTTCTCCTGTTCCTCTTGTCATAGATCTGATGTAAAGACTTTCTAAAAATCAAAATCTCAGAAGTCAAAGCGACTTCATAAGCAACCATAGAATTTTAGTCCCACCACGTTTTGCTAAATGCTAAATAATTATTATTCAACCAATATAACTATGATAAGGGTCCCACTTCAAGGTACTCTTTGACCATGGAACTCTCTATTCCTTAAGAAATCAATTCTTTGGCCATGGAACTTTCCATCTTCTCTTCAGAGAGAAATTTCCCAATTTCCACTTGAGCATTCTGCTCCAAGGATGAATGTCAACAGAAACTTAGCAAGGCCATGAATGTAAGAAAACTGATAGAAACAAACCGACCTCATATCCACTCTCAGAAAAGAAAGAGGGTATAAGATTTATTGCCAACCACAAAGTTTTACATGTACTAGTGGCTCTTCTCTGACCACTAGTTACTTAGTAATTCATAGGAAGTTTTCTAAATTTTCTGGTACAAGTACTACCAGAAGTAAAAACTATAATATTCAGAAAATAAAATCTTAGTCATTCCACAAAAGGCTTGAGTTTTTGACTGGATCATTGGTGTGGAGACGTTCTGTTTTTCATTTTTCAGACCATTTTCTACAAAACAGAAGTGAAAGAGAACCTGGAGATGACTGCGAGAGTGAATGTGAAAGCCAGCCATCAGGCACTTCGCTGAATGTAATCTTCTTGACCTGCATATGCAAAACTAGTTATTAATCTTGAAAATCTTATTATATAAAGACAAAAAAGTTCTGATGTCTAGACTCTGCAGCGAATCTGCAAATGTATCTTAGTATACATCTGCAGCGAATCTGCAAATGTATTTTCCCTTGCTTGTCTTGACATAGATCTGATGTCTAGACTCTGAGAAATTCTCTCAAGACAAAATGAGCTCAGAAGCAAGAATAGTGAAGGTAATATGGCAATATTAGTCGTTTTGCCAAATTCAATTCTTACTGAACCCTTGAAGATAATACAAGATAAAAAAAAACACAGAGAAATGTGTTATATGTACTAAATATAGATTTACATAAACATCAATGAATGCCATCTCTCAATGGCTCCATATAAAAGTATTCCACTTGCATCAGTCATATCTTAATGACGAGAATTCATCTTCTGTGGTGGCGTGTGTAAGCAGCAAAGGTGACTGCTCAGAACCAGTCACAGTTTTGGTTGAATGCTCTCTTGCTTTGCCCCAAATCACAGTGTAGAATCCTAAGCTCAAAATCACTGATCCAATGACACTGCACATAACAGATGAATGGCGAAATCTATATCTGGTTATTACTGTCTCCAAATATATACTACGATATATACAGATGCATGTAGTACCTCCCAAGGTGAAGTGCATCGCCCAGGAATATAGCACCCATAATAACCGCAATAACAATAGACAATGGCTTGAACAATGATATGTAGACTGGACCCTTCAGATGCAGACCCCATGTGTGTATAACTATGCCAAATGATGAAAGCAAGCCTCCCTGAAACAAGAGTGTTAATTTCTGAGCTTAAATACATAGTCACTGCTTAAAGCAACATACATATAAAGTATGATTCTTACCGAGTACAAGATTGCAGCAAGGGAGACACCCGGTTTAAGCAGAAAAGAAGACAAGTCTTTTTCAGCATATAGACATACAGGTGCTGAGATTAGCGTTGCGCATAAGTTGTACAAGAACACTACAGTTATTTCTTCAGGGTATACACTCATGACCTGAGTCTGAAATCATATAGAGCCACCAGATTTAGCAATAGTTTTCTTTTGTCACCAACAAATCCAAAGTACTTTTTTTTTTAATACCTGAAGAATATACCAGACTGAAATAAGCATATACTGTGAAACGAGTAAGAGACCTCCAATCATCCAACTTGAATCAAAAGATGTCAAATGTGAAACGGTAGATGATGAAGATGCAGCAGCGATAACTTTTGGGCCTTTATAGAGAACAACAACAAGAGCACCTGATATAGATACTATAGTGCCAATGATTTTAGCCTGAGTCGCAGAGCTCTTTAAGACTACTTGCTCCATCCTTCAAGAGTCCCCCAAGGAAGCAGAGCAAGTGAGAGAGTTAAATTTGTATGAAAATAACAAAGAAGCCTCAGTAACATTCAATTTGTCTCAGAAGATTACTTTTCCGAAACAGAATCGAAAGAGAAGGAGGTGTAACCTGAAGATTACGGCGAGCGTGAAGGTGAAAGCTGGCGTGAGGTTGCTGATAGCAGAGGAAAGAGTAGGAGAACTATATTCCATTCCTTTACAGCCAGCCATTCCCGACATAAACCTGTTCCGTACCTCCAAGTTAAAAAGCTGTAAATGCTCGTAAGGCAATAGCTATTGGAGTATATAATTACCCGACAAGCGCAAGCAAGAAAATCTTGAAGAAGACAGGAGATTTGACTGAAGGTAATCTTCTTGACCTGCACATGTGAAACAAGTTTTTCAGTCTTGAAAAGTACATACAGGGCAAGAATTAGTGGAGGAGATGAAGTACCTTCCAAAGATGAGGGAAAGTGGAAGAAGGACAAGTGTAGCAACAACATAAGAGTAGAAGACAAAGACATAGAAGCTCAGTCCTCTCAATGTCGCAGCCTTGAACAGTGTGTTAGATCCAACCGTGAGACACTCCACTGCGATCATTGCAGCAAATGGTGCAACATCTCTGCAAAAGTATCTCCACGCCACGGTCTCTTCTTCGGCTCCTCTTGCCATGTCTAGACTTTCAAAAAATTTCTCAGAAGTCAAAGTGAGTTCATAAGCGATAATAATGGTTAATCCAACCACGTTTGCTATTACATTATTTTATTTAGATAAATATTCCAACTTGACCAATACTTTACACTTAAGCAAGGAAAGTGAACGCATTGCCCGAATAATAGAAAAAAACTAATATTTCTTACAGATATAAAACACAGCTCTGCATTCATCTTTTTAAAAAGCATTGCATTAATCCAAGAAAGTAAAACAGAAGAGAAAATATATATCATTCTTAATTAACCTCTAACATATACCAACAGACATACATATGCACATAAACAAAGACCAGCTTCCGTTGACACCGAAATAAAATAAAAACAAAGGCCAGCTTCTAAATATATAATATAAGGATTCCACTTGCATAATCCTATCTTAATGACAAGGCTTCATCTTCTACCATGTGTGTAAGCAGCAAAGGAGAATGCTCAGAACCAGCAACAGTTTTGGTTTCACCCTCTTTTGCTTTTCCCCAAATCACAGTGTAGAATCCAAAGCACAATATCAATGATCCAATGACACTGCCACGAGACATATATGGCGAAATCTATATTGGTTATTACTGTCTTAAAAAGCATACTGAAGTATATACAATATGTATCTCTCACATGAGAAAATAATCTAGAAGAAACCATATATTAGAGCTCTTGTAGTGGTTTGGTTTGACTTGTGATGGATCATAGAATAGAAATCAGAAACCATAAAACCCTTCAAATGTGATTTCACTAGATAAACACATGATACTAAGAATAGATTTCTATGTTTCTTCGTGAACACAATCGAAATAAGAAGATGAAAGAAATGGTACCTCCCAAGGTGAAGTGCATCGCCGAGGAATATAGCACCCATGGCGACTGCAATGGCAATAGACAATGGCCTGAACAAGGATATGTAGACCGGACCTTTCAGACGCAGGCCCCACGTGTGGGTAAGTGCACTGACTAATGAAACAAAGACTCCCTGAAACAGAGTGTTAATTTCTTAACTTAAAAACACATCGTCAGTAACGGAAACAGATTACAAGATTTGATTCTCACCGTGTATATGATTGAAGCGAGGGAAATGCCCGGTTTAGGCGCCCAAGAACTCAAGTTGCTTTCCGCAAAGAAACATACAGGTCCTGAGATTAGCATTGCAAATAAGTTGTAGAACAAGACTACAGTTATTTCTTCAGGATATACCTCCATGACCCTAGTCTGAAACCATACACAGCTATAAAATTTAGCAAGAGCTTGTCGACAACAACCGAAAGTTTTCTTGATGAAGATATTAAGTGTTTGTACCTGAAGAATATACCAGACTGATGAGAGAAAATACCCTGACGCAAGCAAAAGGCCTCCGATTATCCAGCTTGACTCGAATGATGTTACACTCTGGTGAAGCGAAATGGTAGATGGTGAAGATGCAGCAGCGAGAACTTTTGGGCCTTTATATAGCACAACAACAAGAGCACCAGATATAGATACTATTGCGCCGATGATTTTGGCTTGAGTCGCAGAGCTCCTTAACACTACTTTCTCCATCCTTTAGACCATATCCAAGTAAGCAGAACAAGTTATAGATACATACTCAGTAATGAGATTGATAGTAACAAACAGACCTCATATCCACCCAACTTATCTCAACACAAAGCATTTCTAACCAACCACAAGATGGTACTTCTACTAGTGGCTCTGTACTTCATAGTTAACTTTGTCATTTAAAATTATGTGAGAACTGAGAACTACTAGTCACTGATCATATGATGCCCTAGAAACAAAATTTTAGTCATTTCACAAAAGGCTTGAGATTTTGCAAGGTTATTCAGTGTGGAATCATCTCGTTTTTCATTGTACAGACTAATTTCCCAAAACCATAAACGAAAGAGAAAGAGGTGGAACCTGAAGATAACGGCGAGCATGAAGGTAAAAGCCGGCGTGAGATTGCTGATAGCAGAGGAAAGAGTAGGAGAACTATATTCTATACCTTTACATCCAGCTATCTGCGCCATGAACCTGTTCCATCCAAGTTATTCAGAAAACAAAAACCGGAAATGCTCATCAATCTAGAAGCAGGAGTATACATATATTATTTACCCAAGAAGCCCAAGTATGAAAATCTTGAAGAAGAGAGGAAACTTGGCTGAAGGTAATCTTTTTGACCTGCATGTATGAAAACTAAGTTCATACTCTTGAAAACTCTTGAAAACTCTTGAGAGTAATGATGAGGAGATCATCAAGTACCTTCCAAAGATGAAGGAAAGTGGAAGAAGGAGAAGTGTAGCAACGACATATGAATAAAACAAAAAGACATAGAAGCTCAAGCCCCTTAAACTTGCAGCCTTGTACAGTGTGTTTGACCCAACATTGGTACACTCCACTAAGAACATCGCAGCAAACGGCACAACATCTCTGCCAAAGTACCTCCAAGCCACTGTCTCTTCTTCAGATCCTCTCATGATGGTTTTGATATCCAGATTCTCAGAAACTCTCTGAAACTAGAAGCAAACATGGTGTTTGGTGGTTAATTCCACCACGATTGCTAAATGGCAGATTATTTATTTAGGAACCAAGAAGACAATAATTATCAGTGACGACAAACCGGAAAGTATTAATCTTTCTCACCTCCATAATTAAATATCCCAACTTGACCAAAACTTCACACCACAATCATCATCTTCTTGATTATTTTAGGGACCCAACATGGAGAATCTTCAGCTCAATCATCCAATTGAAGAAATTTTTCCAATTTCCATTTGAACATTCGCTTCTAGTGATGAAGATTTTGATTACTTAAGCGAAATCCAACATCGATGTCATCGAAATCATCACTAACCTTCGATTTTTTCCTCCCCAAAATCGCACCAAATGTGGAACGGAGCCAGAAGCTCACGTGTGGACTTCGCCGACGCCTGTCCCGACTTGATGCTTCCGTCAAAAGAATTGATGTAACGGTTACATTTTGAGAGACGATCGTTGACACGCTTTCTCAAGTCTAGTTTTTGATCCAACGGTTAGGATTTTGATACAATAGAGAGAGAGAGAGAAAAAAAAAACGCATAACCGAACAGCTTAACCGAACCGAACCAAAATATCATTGGCGTGGCGTAACATTGGTCAATGTTACACGGCTGTGAGAATTCAGTATTTACCACCTTTTCAAAATCATTGCATGAAGTAAAAAAAAGATATATAAATCATTCTTATTTTTAATCTCCAAAAGTCAAAATGATACAAGAAAAAAAAAAGACAACAGAAAAATTATCTAGAGGATCCATATTCATAAGAATTGTGTATCTTACTTGCATCATCACTCATATCTTAACCAAACGCCTTCATCTTCTACGGCGTGCGTGAGCAACAACGGTGAATGCTCAGAACCAGCAAAACTTTTGGTTGCAGCCTCTTTTGCTTTGCCCCAAATCACAGTGTAGAATCCAAAGCACAAGATCACTGATCCAATGACACTGCCCAAAGCACATATATCTCAAAATCTAAATCAGTTATCACAGTCTCATAAAGCACATATATATCACTTATGGTTTCAAGAAATGTTTTCAAGAAAGAGACTATATATAAGCTGAAGGTAAGAAGATGAAAGATATGGTACCTTCCAATGTGAAGTGCATCGCCGAGGAATATAGCACCCATGGCGACTGCAATGGCAATAGACAATGGCCTAAACAAGGATATGTAGACCGGACCCTTCAGACGCAAACCCCATGTGTGAGTTAGTGCGCTGACTAACGAAACAAAGACTCCCTGAAACGGAGTGTTAATTCCTTCTGAGCTTCAAAGGAAAAAAAACTTCTTCAGTAATGGAAGCTGATTTGTGAGATTTGATTCTCACCGAGTATATGATTGCAACAAGTGAAATATCTGGCTTAAGCACCCAAGAAGCCACGTTGCTTTCCGCAAAGAAACATACTGGTGCTGAGATTAGCGTTCCAAATAAGTTGTACAAGAAGACCACGTTTATTTCTTCAGGGTATACCTCCATGACCCTAGTCTAAAAACCATACACCGCTTACCAAATTTAGCAATGAGTTTTATGTGTAATTGTGTAATTGTGTAAACAACAAATCAAAAGTCTTTTTGATGAATTTGTACCTGAATAATATACCAGACTGATATAAGGAAATACTGTGAAGCAAGCAAGAGGCCTCCGATTATCCAGCTTGACTCGGGTGAAGTCAAATTCTGGTGAAGCGAAATAATATGTGATGAAGATGTTAAAGAGAGAACCTTTGGGCCTTTATAAAGAACAACAACAAGAGCACCAGATATAGATACTATAGTGCCAATGATTTTAGCCTGAGACGTGGAGCTCCTTAACACTACTTTCTCCATCCTTTACGAGTCACACAAGGAAGCAGAACCAGTCAGAGTCATTCATTCCATGAAAGCAAAACCAGAACCAGTTAGAGTTTTCGGGAAACAGAAACGAAAGAGAGAAAGGTGGTACCTGAAAATAACGGCGAGCATGAATGTGAAAGCTGGCGTGAGGGTGCTGATAGCAGAAGCAAGAGTAGGAGAACTAGATTCTATACCTTTAGCTCCAGCTATACGCAACACAACCCTGTTCCCATCAAGTTATTAAAAAAAAGTTAGAAAACAAAAACCTCCACAAATCTAGACGTAGTTACTGTAATATTATTACCCGAGGAGCCCAAGTAAGAAAATCTTGAAGAAGAGAGGAGACTTCGCTGAAGGCAATCTTCTTGATCTACATATGCAAAATAACTTCAGAACCTTGAAATAAAAAAAAGTTATACTGGGGAAAAAGGAAGAATCAGTACCTTCCAAAGATGAGGGAAAGAGGAAGAAGGACAAGTGTAGCAACACCAAAAGAGTAGCAGACAAAGACATAGAAGCTTAATCCTCTTAAGGTTGCAGCCTTGAACAGTGTGTATGCACCAACCGTTGTACACTCCACCACAAACATTGCAGCAAACGGCACAACATCTTTGTTAAAGTACCTCCACGCCATGGTTTCTTCTCCTGTTTCTTTCATGATAGGTTGTATTTCCAGATTCTCAAAGAAAAATCAAGAAACTCTCTGAAATATAGTATGTTTTTTTGGAGAAACCATTGTGGTCGTTGACTCTACCACGATTGCTACATGGTCATTATTATATTATGGAAACACATGTTCAGAGAGGCTAATATGGATCTAGTCTTCCTCCATGATTTAATATCCCAAACGTGACCAATAAAAAATACTTCACACCATAATCGTATATTCAGAGAAGATAATATGAAAATAGTCAATGATACAAGGATCATACTCGTATAAGCGTGTGACCATGTAGCTCAATTAACCCACAAAACCAATACCTTTCAGCCAAAACCATCATCCGACTTGCATTTGAACATTCTCCTCCACTGTTGAAGACTTTATAGCTTTGATTTGGCTGTGTTCAAATGCTTATAAATTCAGCTCTGCACAAGTTGCATCTATTATAAGATCTCCAGAGAAAATCTGCAACCTCCATCAATAACAACTAACCTAAAGCAATCTTTTTAAAAAATTAGCCTAGAACAACTTTAATCCAAATCCATATAACAAATCCTAAATCACCACTCACCTTCGGTTCCTCCAGCAATAGACGATAAAGCAACTCGATTAACTTGTTCAATAATTTGAAATTTATCACAATGACAATGCTTCATCTTCAAGTCTATCACAATAATTTACAAATGAGTAATAATATATTGAATAACACTAGAATCGATCCTATCTTAATGACAATGCTTCATCTTCGAGGATATGTGTAAGCAGCAAAGGTGAATGTTCAGAACCAGCTACAGTTTTGGTTGCATCCTCTCTTGCCTTGCCCCAAATAACAGTGTAGAATCCAAAGGATAATATCACTGACCCTATGACACTGCCCAGAACACATATGCAAAAACTTATAGTCGTTATTACTTGCTCTAAAAGCACATCACATTCAATACAACATTACACTTCTCACATGCAAAAATAATACTGAAGAAACCATATATAATTCTCAAAATTTGACAGATACATGATACTAAGCATTTCAACAACCTAGATTTCAGTTCTATGTTTCTCCGTTTAGGTAAACTCTATTGAATGTGATGAAAATACAGAGGATGGAAGATATAGTACCTCCCAAGGTGAAGTGCATCGCCGAGAAATATAGCACCCATGGCGACTGCAATCGCTATTGACAATGGCCTAAACAAGGATATGTAGACTGGACCTTTCAGATGCAGGCCCCATGTGTGGGTAACTGCGCTGAATAATGAAACAAAGACTCCCTGAAACAGAGTGTTAAACAGAGATTCAAAGAAACTTCTTCAGTAATGGTCTAATGAAAGCAGATTTGTAAGATTTGATTCTCACCGAGTATATGATTGCAGCGAGGGAAATATCTGGTTTAAGCACCCAAGAAGTCAAGTTGCTTTCCGCAAAGAAACATACTGGTCCTGAGATTAGCGTTGCAAATACGTTGTAGAAGAAGACTACGCTTATTCCTTCAGGGTAGACCTCCATGACCCGAGTCTGAAACCAAATACTTCTACCAACTTAAGCAAAGAGTTTTATGTGTTGACAACAACTCCAAAGTACTTTTTGACGAACTTTTCTTTTTTCAAGTGTTTGTACCTGAAGAATATACCATACTGAGAGAAGGAAGAACTGTGAAGCAAGCAAAAGGCCACCGATTATCCAGCTTGACTCGGATGAAGTCAAATTCTGGTGAAGTAAAGGTGATGAAGGTGTAACAGATGCAGCAGCGAGAACTTTTGGGCCTTTATATAGCACAACAACAAGAGCACCAGATATAGATACTATTGCACCGATGATTTTAGCCTGGCTCGCTGTGCTTCTTAACACTACTCGTTCCATCCTTTACGAGTCACACAAGGAAGCAGAAGCAGTTCAGAGTTACATAACATAACCACCCAACTTATCTCACGAAAAAATATCTATAGCCAACCACAAGGTTGTACTTGTACTAAAGATTCTGTGACCACTAAAGCAAGTACATCATAATTTTACTTTCTAATTCATAGTACTGAGTATGAGAAGTTCTGTAATATCTACTATTGATTCGCATCGACTAATAGCAAGTCCAAACTACTAGTCGCTGAACATATGAGAAAAATCAAAAGATCTTAAAACATTCCACAAAAGCAAAAGGCTTGAGATTGTGTCTAGATACTTGGTGTAAACACAGAAACCAAAGAGAAGATGGTGAAACCTGAAGATAACGGCTAGGGTGAATGTGAAAGCTGGTGTGAGGTTGCTGATAGCAGAGGAGAGAGTAGGGGAACTATACTCTATACCTTTACAACCAACTATTTGCGACGTGAACCTGCTCCATCCAAGTTAACAAACTAGAAAACAAAAACCGGAGATGCAGGAGTGTACATATATTATTACCCGAGAATCCCAAGTATGAAAATCTTGAAGAAGAGAGGAGACTTGGGTGAAGGTAATCTTCTTGACCTGCAAATGTAAAAAAAAAAGTTCATGATTCTTGGATAAAGATTATATTGGGCAACGAGTGGATAAAGATATCAAGTACCTTCCAAAGATGAAGGAAAGTGGAAGAAGGAGAACTGTTGAAACAACATAAGAGTAGAACACAAAGACGTAAAAGTTCAATCCTTTCAAAGTTGCAGCCTTGTACAGTGTGTTTGATCCAACCGTGGTACACTCCACTGTGAACATCGCAGCAAACGGCACAACATCTCTGCTAAAGAACCTCCAAGCCACTGTCTCTTCTCCAGATCCTCTCATGATAGATTTGATATTCAGATTCTCAGAAATTAAAGTGAGCTTAATGAAACAATCATGGTGTTGGTGGTTAGCTCCACCACGATAGCTAAATTGTCATTATTTGTTTAGAAACAAAGACATTTCCTGTGAAGATAACATGGGAATAGTCTTCCTCCATGATTAAAAAATATCCCAACTTGACCAAATACACTTCACACCACAAGAATCATATTCGAATATACACTAATTAGGGACCCACGACCAGTAATTGTAGCTCTTAAAGGCCTTCACTTTCATTTGAACATTCTTCTTCAATGATTCAAGACTTATATCAAATTGCATCAGCATCAACGACCACAAGGAAATATTTTATCGATTAATTGGATTTTCTCTTCACCTTCCACGGAAATTAACCTCCATAAATAGTAACTAAGTCTAATGCAATCGTATAGCACAAAATTAGCCCTAACGCATCAGTAACATCCATTACTAATCATCTAACAAACCCTGAATCGTATTCGTCGCTGACCTTGGATTCCTAGAGAGACAGAAGATGATCAGCTTGTCCAAAGGATCCCCAGAATCGCATCAGACCACCAGTGTCCAGTCGTTTGCAACGGTGGAGCGGAGCCATGAGCGCACGCATGTCGGCGACTTCTCGTCCGGCAAGACGATGATCGTCAAAAGAAATGATCCAACGGTTAGATTTTGAGACGCTCGCTGATTCGTTGACACGTTTCTCAAGTCTAGATTTGATCCAACGGTTAGAATTTTGGTACGTGCCCTTCACGCGCTTCCCAAATAGATTTTGATACGGTTTGGGTTTTTTTTTATTTCCAGGATGAGAAAAAATTAAACCGAATTAAACCAAAACATGTGAACCGATATTTGACTTTAAATCAATTGGTCTTGTTAATTGAGAAGACAACATACTAATTGAACTTAAAATCTCAATTGAAAAGAAAACATACTAATTGAAAGACAACACACTAAACGATCAAGAGAAGATTGTTAAATGTTGACGTTGGGCATATCCATGATATGTATCATCTTTTAATGTTAGCTACTTGATAACTGCTTCCAATGGGAATGAATATAATGCATGTTATTTTGTGCAACATATCTCTGCTAAAATATCGATAGAAACAAACATGACATTTTCGATGGTAGAGATGAAAAAAGTGAAGGTGAAGATATGAATGAGGAAATGAGAAAAGACAACGAAAATACTATTAATATAGATGAGGAATGTGTTCATCGATGTAATGAGTATAATGTGACTTCAATGTTGATATGTGTTAAAAAATATGGAATACTAAGAAAATATTTGACGGTTGAGATGAAAAGAGTGAAAGTGAAAATTGATAAGTTACAGATTCAGATGGCATTTAGGAAGGGGAGGAAGAAAACTAAAGGAAGAAAAGCTCGCAAGTGGGGAAAGAAGAAGGATATGCAAAGTGGCTAAGCATGAAGAAGGAACAGAAGCACGGGAAAACTCTACGTGAAGAAATTTTTTTTATTGTTACTTAATATCTTCAAGACTATGTCGTTTTAATTTGAGGGATACACTTATGAAGTTGTATTTAAACATTGAACCCAGTATTAGGGTTGTTATCTTATGATCAATCAAATTATTTATTCTTTTAGTTTTAGTTACTGCTGTAATTTTATGTTTTTACTGTAGAAATATAAATGTAGATTTTTTTGCTGTAGTTGTAGATTTTATTTTTAAAAATTTTTGTTTGTAAAATTTGAAAAGCATAAATTTATGTGCTTTAGAAAAAAATACTTTGTAAAGCTGAAAAATAATTTAAAAAAAATATATTTTAGCTGTAAGTAAATAAAGGAAAAACAAAGTTTATAAAACATAATTGATATTTTTATAGCTTTAAACATAAATATTGTTGTGCACATTATCTAATTATGTCTCTTTTTTATTTTTTTCTTCTTTTCTTATTTTTTTAATCTCTCTCCTCTCATACTCTTCATTTACTACTACTTATCTCACTCTATCCTTCATTTCTATTTCCTTGATAGGCTTGCACTTATCAAATGGTGCTTTCGTTGAGAGTTAAAACGATGGTATCACTAGTAGATGTTGTCACTTCAGATCGGAGAGCTAGCTCTTCATAACTCGAGTCAGAACCTCAATCGTTGATAACACAGGAGAAACGACTGGATCGTATGAAAAGGGTGTGGAGTGGATTAAGGAAGCTCTAACCTCATTTATGCCAAATCAG